ATTTTTTATTTTTTTGGTACCAGGGATCGAACTTGGGTCCCTGCGCTTGCAAGGCAGATGGTGGAGCCACTCCAGCCCTCTTTATTTTTTATTTTGAGACAGGCTTTCAGTAAATTGATCAGGCTAGACTCAAACTTATAAACATTCTGCCTCAGCCTCTTGAGGAGCTGGGATTACAGGTGTGCACCACCACTCCTGGCATCCACCTAGCCTTAATCCTTTTGCAACTGAACTTGGGCAAACCCTGTCAGAGACTCCTCATGTGTGCAGCGGGCCTGTAGGTCAGGCTTGCCCCACAGCAACTCCTCACCTCCATTTCCATCCCAGTCCTCTGCAATCCCCATTCTCAGGGATCTGCTGCTGCTGCACTAAACCCTTTACTGCTTCTAGGACCCTGCAGCTTCTCTCCCCGTAGCCCCAAATATCCTTCTTCTATGGTTGGATATAGTTTGTCTGCCAAGCTTTGCGTGCTAGAAGCCTGATCCCCAGTGTGACTGTAAGTAAGGTGGGGGGTGATTTTAAAGGTGAAGCCTTGGGGCCGGGGATTTAGCTCAGTGGTTCCACCGTCTGCCTCAAGAGCACAAGGTCCTGAGTTTGATCTCCGGTACCAAAAATAAATAAATAAAGGTGAAGCCTAGCAAGGAGTGATTACATCAAGGAGGTGAAATTTTTAGGAAGAGATTATTCTCTGTCTGGCAGGAATTGCTTAGTTATCTTGGGAATGGATTAGTTCTCTCAAGAATGCATTGTTAGCCAGGCGTGGTGGTACACCCCTATAATCCCAGCACTTGTGAGGCTAAAGCAGGAGGATCACTGGTGAGCTCAAAACCAACCTGAACTGCATAGCAAGACTCTGTCTCAAAAAAAAAAAAAAATGCATTTTCACTGGGCAAGGTGGTATCCACCTGTAACGTCACCTGGTCAGAAAGCTGAGGCAGGAAGATTGCAAGTTTAAGGCCAACCTGGGAAATTTAATAAGACCCTGCCTCAAAATAAAAAAGGATGGAGGACTGGGGATTTAGCTCAGAGGCTGGGGATTTAGCTCAGTGGTTCTGCTGCCTGCCTTACAAGCACAAGGACCCAGAGTTGGATTAAAAATAACAACAACAAAAAACACCTCTAAAAAGCGGGGCATGGTGGCACACGCCTGTAATCCCAGCACTTGGGAAGCTCAGGCAGGAGGATCACTGTGAATTCAAAACCAGCCTGGGCTACATAGTGAGGTCCGGTCAATCTCAACTACATACAGAGACCCTGTCTCAAAAAACCAAAGAAAAAAAAAAGGATGGAGATGTAGTTCAGTAGTAGGGCACTTGACTAGCTTAAGGGCTTCAATCCTCAGTACTTACCCCCGCCCCAAAAGAAAGAAAAAATCAGAGTGTGGTAGCACATGCCCACAATCCCATACTCAGGAAGATTTCAAGTTCAAGACCACAGTGGGCTATGTAACAAGTTCAAGGCCTCCCTGGACTACATATTGAGACTGTCTTTAAACACTTAAATAAGGGCCAGGGATTTAGCTCAGTGGTTCTGCCACTGCTTCACAAGTACAAGGTCCCAAGTTCTATCCCCGATACCAAAACAAACAAAACACACACATACACACACACACACATATATATAAAATAAAGACACAAATAGGAACACACACACACACACAAACACACACTTCACTTAAATAGGGCTGGGGATGTAGCTCAGCAGTACACTGCCTGCCTGGCAAGCTCGCGGCCCTGAGTTCAATTCTTGGTACAAAAACACAAAACAAAACAAAACAAACAAACAAACAAACAAGAGCAGGTTTACTTTAAAAAGGAAAGACACAAAAAATAAATGAAAATAAAAAGGGAAACCACAAGTCCTGGTCACACTAGGCTGCTGTCTGCTGAGGCAACTCTTCAGAGCCTCTGGAGGTGAGCGGGTGGGGCTCCCCACCCACTCCTGCTGATGCTCCTGTTGTCTGTCTAACCCTAGAGCTGATGGTCTGCAGCCCCTGCCCTGTCCTGTGATCCACCCAAGTGGACTGAGGACCCCGGCTTCTTGTTCTTAGCTGCCATGCCCGATGTCCTGTCCCAGTCTACACACCTTGCTCTCCACTTCTCCTAACCCCTCTTCTACCTGACCCCATGTCTTCTCAGGGTGCCTTCCCCTCCTGCCTACCCCTGCTGTCTGCCCCTAGCCTGGACCTGACTTTTTTTGATGTTCTGAGATAAGGTCTCACCATGTAGTTCAGGCTGGCCTCAAACTAGTGGATATCCTCCTGCTTCAGCCTCCAGAGTGCTGGCATTATAGGCATGCATTACTGTGCCTGATTTGGATCTTATTATTCTGTTTGTTTGTTTGTTTGTTTGTTTTCAGCAGCAAAATTTATTAGAAAAAGTAAAAGTGAAGAGCGAGAGCCAGACATGGTGGAGCACACCTGCAATCCCAGTACACTTGAGAGGCTGAGGCAGGAGGATTTCCATGGGTTCAAGGCCAGCCTGAACTACAGAGTGAGACCCTAATTAAAAATAAGAAGAAGAAGAAAGCCAGGTGTGGTGGCACATGCCTGTAATCACAACACTCAGAAGGTTGAGGTAGGAAGATCGCTGTGAGTTCAAGACCAGCCTGGGCTACATAGTGAGTTCCAGGGCAATCTCAACTATATAATGAGACCCTGTTTCAAAATGCCACCCGCCACAAAAAAAGTGAAGAGTGTGGGAGAAAATGGCTTTGCAGAGTGAGCTTGGGCCAAGTAAAAGAGGAGAAAACTACACACTAAAAAACACATGGCAGGCTATTATGAGGAAAGGCATAAAAGCCTGCTTTCAGGATTTTTGTTTGAGACAGGGTCTCCCTATGAGTCCAGGCTGGCCTAGAACTCATAGCAATCCTCCTGCCTCAGCCTCCCAGAATGCTGGCGTTACAGGCGGGCAACACTATGCCTAGCTGATGTAACGTTTCAGTGGATGGATTTAAGCAGGTTATTCTTCATAATGTGGGTGGGCTACATTTAATCAAGTAAAGGCCTTAAGAGAATAAAGACTGACCTCCACCCCAAAAGAAGGAATTTTGCCAGTAGACTGACTCCTTCCTGAGTCTTCAGCCTGCCAGCCTCCCCCATCAGCTTTTGGACTTGCCAAGGCTTACAACCATGTGAGCTAGTTCCTTAAAATAAACTCTCTATATATACACACACATCCTGTTGGTTCTGTTTCTCAGGAGAACCCTGACTAATAGAGTAGTTGCCCCCAAGGCCAGTGGTCCCCAAGCTCAGCTGGGCTGTTCCCACCCAACACAGCCTTCCTCAGTGCTCTTAGAACTACAGCTCCCACCCCCAACAACAGCTATTTCAAACTCTTGACCTTTTTGGCCCCCAAACTCTTACTTTCCAGGAAAAATCCAAAAAAGCAAAAAACAGGCATTCAGGCCCTCTCTTAACATATGCCTCCCTGCCCTGCTTTTCCCACCCAAACTCCCCACGCATTTCATTGTTACTGCCCCACTCTTCACCTGCAGGAAGGCACACTCCTTTGCACCACTGAACAGAACCTTGTTTTCTTCCTCATCGATTTTACCCAGCTCACCAGGAATGGTGGCACACACTTGTGATCCCAGCACTTAGGAGGCTGAGGCAGGAGGATTGCCAGGAGTTCAAGGCAAGCCTGAATTACATGCAGAGACTCTGTCTCAAAAAAAAATTTCTTTGTTCACCCATTTATTTCCTATATCTTATTTATTTATTTATTTTTGGTACCAGGGATCAAACAGGACCTTGTGCTTACGAGGCAGGTGGGGAACCACTGAGCTAAATCCCTGGCCCTCTTTCTTTAACACAAAATAAACAAAGCCAGGCATGGTAGGCAAGACCTTCCTATACCCCAAACTCTTCTTTCTTACTGTCCTCCTTCCTTCCTAGCCAAGCTCATGTAGACAGCTGTCTTGGGGCCGGGGTGCGGCTCAGTGGCTGAGTGCAGGGTTCCTAGCTATGTAAGGGGGTAGGGGGTCTCCATCCCCAGCACCGCAGTGGGAGAAGGAAAGAGCAACAATGTCAAAGAGCCAGCCAGTGCTCTAGCTCTAGATCCTCAGCTCCCAGTTACCTCTTTCCTCTAAATCTGGCTTCTGCCACCCTCACCTGCAGGAAAGCAGCTCTCCCAATGTGGGACCCCAAGTTTCCAGGCCCAGGGGACATTTCTCAGTCCTTCACTTCAATCTGGAAATTCATGTCACTTGGCATGTACGTTTGGAACTCTATCCACTCCCACTTGGTTTTTCTTTAGTTTTTTGGTGTTTTGTTTTTTGTTTGTTTGTTTGTTTGTTTGAGAAAAGTTCTCGCTGTATAGTCTAGTCTGGCTTGAACTTGAGATCACCCTGCCTCAGCCGCCAAAGTGCAAAAATTACAGGTGTGTACCACCATACCCACCCAGCTCCTTCCGGTTTTCCTAATTTTCTTGTTTTGTTTTGTTTTTCAAGATAGGGCTTGCTATGTGGCATATAGTTCAGTCTGGCCTTAAACTCACTATGTAGCCCTGGCTGGCCTCAAATTTGCAGCATTCCTCCTGCCTCAGCCTCCCAAGTGCTGGGACTACAGGTGTGTACCATCACGGCTGGCCTCATGATTTGAATCACCGGCCACCACTCCCTCTCTGTCCCGCTGTGGGCTCCAGACTCGTCCACTCCACTATGACTCTGTCCTCCTAGACATCGTCCGAGGTGCCTGTATTAATTCACTATCACCACACAGCACACCGCCCCACCCTTGGTGACTCAGCAATGCCATCTTTTATTCCTAGGGTCGGGAATCTGGAAGAGCCTTACTTGGGTGAATCCAGCTCAGAGCATCTCACAAAAGGTGAGACAGAGGTGTCATCCTGGCCAGCCATGGGAAGGCCCTGCTAAGAGCCCCTCCTTCCAAGCTTGCCCGGTCACACACAGTTGCCTGGTGCCCCACAGAGGACCTCACCCCCTCTGTAGGGTCCTAGCAGGACTGTGACTGCCTTTTCCGATTTGCCTCCAGGAGTGAGCTCCATCACATCCCTTCAGCTTCTTCAGGTCCTCATGGCCTCACACTATGGTCCCCAGGCTAGTCTTGAGTTCCTGGGTCAAGGGATCCTCCTGCTTCAGCCTCCTGGGTGCTGGTAGGACAGTCATGCACCATTACACTGGGCTACTTCTGCGTATTCTGTTGGCCTTGACAACAGAAGGAGCCACACAGAGAGGGCCACAAGCACAGAAGGTAAGGAGCATTAGGGCCTTCTTGGAGGCTGGCAATCACAATACCTCAGACTTAACCGATCCCCAAAGGAGCTTTCTTCTCCCACCCCATCTTTCAAATCTGTTCCAGCCCATACATCTGGAAATCAATCTTGATTCTTCCTTCCGTAAGTACATTCTGCAATCAGTCACCATCTCCTGTCAACCTCTCTTTAACATCCCTGCGCTCGTCTCCATCTCCGTCCCACATGTACTGCCTGTCTTCCCTTGATCACTTTGCTCCTCATCCAGACTCTTTGCCTGGTGTCTCACCTGCCAACCCCACACACACACTCTTGCCAGAATGAGCTTTGCACAACTGCACCCCCAACAGCTTTTCTGCTTTCTTTAGGGTAAAAACCACGACCCTAGACATCAGATACAAAGCCTGATGACCCAGCCAGTGGCTGTTGCGCTCACCAGCTCCATGCTGAATCCTCTTCCTAGCTACAGTGTATCAGCACAGTTCCCAGGTGTGAGGATGATTTTCCTTCTTGCATACTACTCCCTCCTTCCAAATATCAAAGATCACAGGGCGTGGTGGCGCACACCCGTGATCCCAGCACTCTTGGGAGGCTGAGGCAGGAGTATCGCTGTGAGTTCGAGATCTGCCTGGGCTACATAGTGAGTTCCAGGTCAGTTTCAACTACATAGTGAGACCCTGTCTCAAAAAAAAAAAAAATACAAAAAGCAAAAAACAAAACAAAACAACAACAACAACAAAACAAATATCAATGATCAACTCTGGTTTATTCTTCACAACTCAGCAGGCTGTAAGAAGGAACTGCATCTCTTCCTCTCAGTACCTTAGCATCCAGCATGGTGCCCACTGAAGGAGGTGTTCAACAAATGTTGGATTGATGGATGGATGGACGGACAAGCAGTTCCTGTGTGATTGGTCCTTATGGCATTCTTGGCATTCAGGGAACAGCTGGTCTATGTCTCAGTTCCCTCCCCCTTGTCTCCAACATCTGCCTTTGCATCAGACACAGCTGAAGATGCAACCATCCAACCTCATGCCCTATCTACTCAGTGCCCCTGGGAGTGTCATTTATTGTCTCTGTGCCCGTAATTTTCATTTGTAATACAGATTAATAAAAAGGAGAGGATGCCAGGCATGGTGGTAATCTCAGCACTCAGGAAGCTGAGGCAGGAGAATCCCATGAGTTCAAGGCCAGCTTGGGTACATAGTGAGTTCAAAGTCAGCCTGAACTATATACAGTGAGACCCTGTCTCAAAAAACCAAACTAAATAAATAAATAATCATAGCACTCTAGGAGGCTGAGGCAGGAGGATCATAAATTTATGCCCAGCCTAAGCAACTTAGCAAGTTAATGAGAACCTGTATCAAAATCAAAAATAAAAAGGTCTGGGGATATAACTCAGTACAAAGGATCTGGTTCCAGTGCCCAGTACTGCAGAAAAAAGAAAAGAGAAAAGAAGAAGGAGAAGGAGAAAGAGGAAAAGGAGGAGGAGAAAGAGAAGGAGGAGTGAGGGGAGGGGGAGGGAGGAGGAGGAGGAGGAGAAGCAGTAGCTGGTGTGGTTGCACACATCTGTAATCCCAGCACTTGGGAGGCTGAGGCAGGAAGATCATGAGTTCTAGACCACCAGCCTGGGTTATACAATACTTTGTCAAAAAAAAAAAAAGAGAGAGAGAGAAGAGGGTGGGCATTTGGTACCCATGTTTCATCCATCCTGAATGATACGCATTGTCTCATTGCTGCAGCCTTTCCAGCCTTAGATCCCAGAGACCAGTTTCACCACTTCCCTGCAGACTGACATTTGGTGAGCACTGCTGACCGCTAAGGTCAAGCCCTCAGGGTTCCCTTGTATACACCCAGGGCCTTGCACAGAATCCTAAAGATTATGACACTAATCCATTCTGTATCCTTATTTTAAAGCATCTTTATACTGTCATATCTTTTTTTTTTTGGTACTAGGGATCGAACTCAGGTCCTTGCACTTGTGAGGCAGGTGCAGGAACCACTGAGCTAAATCCCTGGCCCTACTGTCATATCCTGCTAGATCTTCAGGTAAAGGAAGAATTTTCAAGGAGAAAAACTTGAGGTTCAAAGTGACTCACCTAAAGCTCTATGGCACCTCTGTCAACATAGGGACAATCGTTGCCCTCAGAGATCTGGGTGCCTGTGGATGTGTTTTTCTGGTTGGCAGGGCAGCAGAGGTGTGGTGCTGTGGAGTGAGATCCATGGGTAGAACAGCCAGACTTGGATTCTAAAACTACTATAGTTGAAGGGAGAGAGAGAAAAGGTGTCATGGTCCAGAAAGAGGAGGTCTATTTTAGGAGGTAATTTTCTAGCCTGGATAAAATAGAGAAATTAGGGAAGTTCTTTGAAAGCAGAAGCTTAGCTTACTGCTATGTCCCTGGTGTCTAATACAGTTCCAGGGATATCCTTGGTGCTCAATAAATGTCTGTTGGCTGAATTGGAGATTTGGGAGGAGGGAGAGAACTTGAGAGAGTTTAGAATCAAAAATCAAGGGGGAGAGAGCTGAGAAAAAGGAAATACAGAAGAGAGACCTCAGCCAGGTGGCCCCACTTCGCTTACTCCAAGACATTGGTAAATCCTCCTGAGGAACAAGATGCTGTGACTTTAAATGACTTCAGCATTGTCAATGAATCTGCTTTGCTAAAAGAGTTATCCTCTTGCTCCAGTGCTTGGCCTCCCCCTCCTCTCAGCTCCCCAAACCCTCCTCGGCTGCTGTGATGGGATAATTAGATGCGAGAGCTCAGCACAGATGATGCTCCAGTTGCTTAGCAACTAATGGTTTCCATGGAGACCACAAAGCCCAGCCTCCGGAGCAGCCAGTGAGCAGCTCGGCAGGGCAGGGAGAAGACAACTCTCTGCTCCTCCAG